TGAATATTCAATTAAACATCAAAGAAAACTAGCAAAATATTCCAAGATATAAACCTTAATATTCAAAAAGAAGATCTGAAGCAGTAATCCTAGTTTTGGACTAAAACAGATACTTATAGAAATCTGGGACTGCGAATCTCGCTCGAGCGAAGACTCTCTCACTCGAGCGAGGAACCAAAAACGCGTGTTTTCCATAAGTGGTTTCGCTCGAGCCACGAAAACTGCGCTCGAGCGCACATTCATCATTCTCAGGTTTTTTGCCAGACGCAGCCTTCGCTCGAGTGAGAACTCCTTCGCTAGAGCGAGCAAGGGCGGACATACAACTTCGAATGTAATTTTGCATTTTGCCCTCGACCCCGCTGTGGCGTTGTCCCGAACTCGCCAAGGGGCGCTGCCCTCTGGACCCCCGCGAGCTGACCGGGCAGCTCGATCCCCGTCATAATCAGCGAAGTGGCAATCTTGAAAGTATTAACATCACAAACTTCTCTGCAAGGCATAATTCAGGTTGGATTCGCATCTAAAAAACTCATAGCCTCATTGAAATAAAAATGCGAAAACAAGTACAACTGAAAGGAGTTTTGTCAACCGAGATTGCCAAGAATAAAAGCCTAACACCAATAAATAGAAATAATATAATTTTTAAATTATCCTTATCCTTATGCTTAGAAAAATAAAGGTTGCGTTTGGTTTAATTTTGAAATTATGATTTTCTTTTTGGAATTGTGATTTGAGTGTGAAATTGTGAGTTAAGTTCTAAAAGCAGAAAGTTTGTTTAATTATGAGTTTTAAAAAATGCTTTGAAATGAATTTTTAAATTTTAAATTTTGAAAAGAGCTAATTGGGTCTACCCGGTCATCCATCCAGACATCTTCCTAGACATCCAGCCGGTTGAACGGAACAGTGCAATTTATTTATTTATTTTTTGCAATTGCAACTTGTTATTTGAAATAATAATAATAATATATTTGTTTTAGATATTTTTTAAATATATAAATTATTTTTTTTAGATTTTTTATAAAAATAATTTAATAATCACATCACTAACCATCTTCAACATTATATATCATCAAAAGAGTTTTAAATTGAGTTTTGAATTGTGTTTTTGATTATAAATTTTAAAAAGTGATTTGAAAATTTTACATTTGAAATTATGATTCCAAAGCCAAGACAAACTAAACACAACCAAAATTTTAGATAATTGTTCTAAAAATTCAAATTTAAACTAAAAAATAAATAAACAAACAAACAGACTTGTACTCTTGTCAAATGAGGGTGAGACAGCCAACAACGTGGCAGTCTTATCTACTAGCAAAAACTTTTAAGTTGAGTGAAAGTGTCATAAGTTTTTTATTAGGACATGTCCTATGATTTCTTACTTGTACACACGGTACAATGGTTTGCTTTGGAAGGTAGATTAAAAATTAATTTTTTAAATTTAAAAAAAAAATGTAAAAATATAAAAAGATATTGTAACTTTAAAAAAAAAAGTTAAACAATAATTTTTAATCGAGTTGTCAAAAACAAATATATATTACATGCAGTAAAAGGACAACTAAAATAACATATACATAAAAATAACGGTAGGCAAAACAAAAAGCTACCGACAAGTTACTTTTTTAATTATATTTTCTCTTGTATTTAATTTTTTTTTTTATTTTTTTCTTAATTTACAAATCAAAAAATTATTTTTTTTTAAATTTCCAGAAAAGACAAAAAAAAAAAAGCAAAAAACAGTACAGTTTTTAAGCATATTTTGGTTTTTAAAATATTTTTTTTGGCTGTTTAGATTCGTCTATACAAGACAAACAGAAAAAATTAAAAAAAAAATCACTAAAACCAAAAATTATTGAAAGAATAAATGGCTTTTTTAGCCAATAAATAAACTTTTCAAACACCCCCACATTAGCAAACATTATTGAAATTTGATGAACATTAGATGTTTGAAATCCAATGTTTGTAACATGACTCTGATGTTATTAACATTGTATCTGATGTTATTAACATTATAATGGGACCTTTCAGTCTATAAGAAAACTTTTAGGACTAAACAGTGCATAAGTTATTAATTTGGGATTTATTGGTGCATCCCCCTTCTTTTTATTGTCCCCAGCGATCTATTTATAATTTAAAATAATTATATATTTTGTATCAAAATGAGTATAATAAAAAATATATAATATATTAAAATTCAAAATTATCATAAAAAATTATCAAACTTCTTAAACTGGATACCCCATAACTCACGCCACAGTGTTGCTACACAAATAACATGGAAAATACATTGGTTGACTGTTCTATGTGTCAATTTAATTGGAATATAATCCTTTTGAAACGATACAAATTCCTCACCAAACTTTTATTTTGTTGTATTCTATATGTTGATATTTATTAATTTCAAAAATTTTAATTTATTTTAGCTGTTTAAAAAAATTATTATAAAAAATATTTAATTATTTTAAAAATTTTAAGTAATAAATTCATAGCAAACAATAATTAGATCTATTTTGAGAAAGAGGTTAACAGTTAACTTTTAGATTTTTTTTTTAATTTTTTTAATAAAATGTATAAAAAAATAAAAAAGCAATTAATGTTGGTTTCAGTTTTTTAAATTCAATTTTCTAGAAACTGAATTTTTTGTTTTTCATATTTTTTTTTTTGTTTTTAGTGAACATTTTAAAAATTTTAAGCAATTTTTTTTTACTTTTTTAGATGCATGTATCTAAATAGTAAAATATTTTAAAAAATTAATAAATATACTAAAATATGAAAAATATACTGAATTTTTATATTTTTTATTTTTGGTATTTAGTAAATTTGTTAAAGATTTTTTTACAATATTATACTTTTTAAGTATATTTATATTAAAAGTGTCTAAAAATTAAAAAATAATTACTTAAAATATTAAAAAAAATTTGTGAAAAAAAAATATGAAAAATGAAAAAGTAAAATTTAAAAATAAATAAATTTTGAGAACTAAAATCAAACAGAATAAATATAATTTAAAAAAATCAAAAAACTAAAAACTGATTTTTAACAAAAATAAGTCTTAATAGAAGTGTGGAGTCGAGTCTTAATAAAAGTGTGGAGTCGTATATAAATTGTTGATGTAACATTAATTTAATTTAGCATCATTAATACACCATTAATGATGTAACATTATGTGAACTCTACCACTACTAATGTGATAAGGGTCCTGCTATGTTTCATGAAAATTTTTATGAAAATCATCATGAAAACCATCTGCATCGTTGGATCATGAGACACATACCTGATCTAACAGTGCAGATGATTTTCATGATGATTTTCATAAAAAATTTTCATGAAACTTAGCATTTCCCATGTGATAATTTAGCTTTTGTTTTTTTTGTTTTCTTTACAATGTCACTTTGTTAGTGGTCCTTTTAAACTTTCAATAATTTAGTGCTTTAAATCGGGACCCTAATACTAATGAGGACAAAATGGCATGTGGCCACCTGGTATTCGTAAACTTTTGCAGTGTCTTTTGGGTCAGAGTACGGGAATGTTTGGGAAATGAGTTTTTTTTTTTTTTTAAGTTGTAAGATATTATTAGAATTTTTTTTTTTTATATTTGAGAAGATAGTTGAATTTTTTTATAGTTAGATGTGATGTTTGTGAGAGAAAAAGTGAAATGATTATGGGGTTTGATGTGATATTTTGTTTGGATTGATTTTTTTTTTTATTTTTGTAAAACATTTGTTTTGTAGTAAAAAAAAATCAAAAAAACCCTAGGTAGCTCAAAATTTGTGATATTGAATTTTCATATTATAAAATTTATATATAAGATAAATTTAAATTATAAAATAATAATTTTATATAATTTTTAAATTATTACATATAAATTTATAGTATTACTGGTCAAAAAGTCATGTTGAAAAGTTTCACATCATCAAAGAGTTATTAATAACAATAATGCTAGGTAGCTCAAAATTTTGTGGTTCAAATGGTTCAAATTACTTAAAACGACGTCGTTTTGACAAATTTAAACTATTTGAGCCACAAAATTTTAATTTATCAAATATTTTCTTAATAATTGAAGAATATAAAAGAAGAATGTTTATGATTGATTAAGGACATGATTAGGACCAATCAATATTTTTTCCAGCCAACATCGGATGTTCTAAACAAGTGTACTTTTTGAATTTTTATAAAAAGATATGTAAAATAGTAGAGAGGAGATGTTGATTGATGTGACCTAAAAAAGATAAAAAGATGGACTAAAATAGGATACCCCAAACAAGGCCGGAATCTATGGTTGGTTGATGATTAACACAACCGTCACACATCAAACGTTTTCAAATCTTTGTCTATTGATTAAAGAAATATTAAAAAATATATTATAAATTGAAATATCAATTATTATTACAAAAGATTAGTAAAAATTTAATTATATTTCATTTTAATAAATTAAAAAATTAAAAATTAAATTACACTTTGATTCATGTATTTTATCATTTTAGCTCTTAAATTTTTTTCTTACTTTGATTATTTATGTTTCAATTTATTTTAATTTCCTTTTAAAACTATTTTTTTAATTTAAAATTAGAAAGAATATGTCACATTAAGTAAAATATATTCTTATATTTATCCTATGCCTCACCCAAACTTAAATTTAAATATAATAATATATTTTTTACATCACGTGACAACCATCTAAATATAATAATATATTTTTTACACCACACCACAGTCAACACGGTATTTTTAATCTAATTTCAGATAGAATTTAGCTTTAGAGTTAAATTGAAAAAACTTAAAATGTCAATAGCTAAAGTGAGATAAAAACTTTAATGGTTAAGATAAGAAAATAAGTAAATCATAAAAGGGTAAAGTGTAATTTACCAACAAAAAAAAAAAAAAAAAAAAAAAACCAACATACAAAAATATTTTGCTCCACTTTATCAATCCCTTTGTTTCAACCTCAAATAGGTTTCTATCTTCACACCTATTTGAGTTTGAGGGATAAAAACTTTAATGGTTAAGGTAAGAAAATAAGTAAAACATAAAGAGGTAAAGTGTAATTTATCAAAAAAAATAAAAATAAAATATTAGTACTACGAAACTAAACGACAAATCCTCACCGCCTAAAATGAAATAATAATACTATAAATTCAGATTTAATTACTTAGAAATTATTTTAAATTATTATTTTGTGCTTCAAATTTATTTTATGCATAGACATCATATTACACAAATTCAATTTCAACCACACGCTCTCATTCGGGATAAATTAGGAATATTGTTTTAGATATGACAAATTCGGATAGTTAAGTGGGGTTCATAGACTTTGGGCAATTGCCCAAATGGTCTTGGAGAGATCAATTGGCTACCAAGATGTGTGAAGTTTCAGGTTCGAATATATGAAGAGGCGTTGACCTGCGTTGTAATCTAATTACTAACATATTAACTATTATCTTGTGCATAAAAAAAAAGAAAAAGAAAAAAAAAAAGGGTGGGGTTCATAGAATTATTGAAAATGAAATCGTTACTAAGTGTTAGTTGAGCTTAATCAATCTCGAGTAATGCTATACAAACAAAAAAATTCATATATAATAATTTTGTTTTAGACTTTTCACTTTAAAACAAAACACCATTGAAGATGAGTTTCTTTACAATATCATTCTTATCAAATTTTTTGTATAAATTTTATACATGAATATAATTTTCCATCTCTATTAATAATTTCCTTTGACAGAAGCTCAATGACTAAAATTATTAACAAATTAATAACTAAACAATCCTGTTAGTGTCTTCTTATTATAACTATGAAACCCAGACTTACAATCCCAATTTGGGGTCAAGAATGGAATGTTTGATGAAGATTGAAAATGTGTATTATTAGAGTTATATATAGAATGAATCTGAATCACATATTTGTGTTTTTGGGTAATTTCTAAATTTGTAATGTTGCTGCCATAAAAAATGCTACATGTTATCATTTTTTTATTATTAATGTCTATTTGGTTTCTTTTAATTGGTATAATCATTAAAAAAAAATAATGAAGACAAATAAGATATTATCATGAAATTCCGTAATATAAAATGACAAAAAATCTGATGATATGTAATGAATTTTTTTTTTTTTTTTTTTTTTTTATAGTTGGTGGAACAAAAGTTAATCTACAATTTAGCTTATTTTGAGACTTTTGTTGTGAATTTTCACGCTTTGGTAGCTTTATTGAAGTCTGTTTTGACCTCTCTTATTTAGGTCAAGTTTGAGAAGACTAAATAAGTGTACTTTTTGTCTTTTTAGACTAAAAAATTGAGGTTGAAAATATGGATGTTTGGGTTAACTTTTTGACTTTTTATGAAAAAATGTGTAATAAAAAATTGTAAAAAAATTGAGGTTGAAAATATGGATGTTTAGGTTAACTTTTTGACTTTTTATTAAAAAATGTGTAATAAAAAATTGTAAAAATTGATTTGTAGGGAAAAATTTGAATTGGGAGTTGTGCAGTCGTAATTGTTGACTTTTGGTGAATAGTGTTAACTTTTCAACTTTTTGAGTAACTTTTTGGCTTTTTAACTTTTTTGGAACTACCCAAACTTGGCCTTAGTTTCTTAGTGAGTAGAGATAATATAAAGTTGTAAAATTATTTCATCTCATCACTCTCTCCCCTATCCCTTTGATGCCAAGTTGTCAATATAGGCTTGATTTTAGAAGTGGGTTGGCTTTTTATTTTATTTTTTTCGACCTTTTTTGATTTTTTTTTTTGTGAAAAAAAGAATGTAATGATTATAGATTAGATGTGATATTTTGTCTTATTGGACTAAAAAGCTTATTTTATTTTTTTTATGACTATTTTAGCCAAAAAATCCTCAAACACAACTTTTTAAACATAGGCTGGCTTGGTTTGGTAAGTGAGTTGACTTTTTTGCTTTTTTAATTATTTTAGTCTGCGGTTAAAAATTTTGGTGTGGGGAGGGTTTTTGACTTTTTTATAAGAGAAAAAATATAATAATTATAAGTTAGATATGATATTTTATTTTATTAAGATTGAAAATTTTATTTTATTTTTTATGACTATTTTAGTCCAAACCTATGTTCCAAACCATGCCAGTATAATATAATAAAATATATTTGTTAACGTTTGCCAATAGACTCAAATACTGAAAACAGACCGAAGAAAAGTCAATCAAGTTTTGGACAGCAGCTGAGCTGGTAAAAAGTGGGAAGATGGTAGAAAGTAATTTTTTTTGGCTTTTAATCAAGTTTTTAGTTATTTTAGATAAATAATTTGAAAAGTTGGTAAAAAATTATTTTTAATTTTTTGATTAATATTTATTTATGATATTAAATCATAATAAAATGACCAAACTATCCCTATTTAATTTAAAAATATTTACAACTTCATCTATATAGCACATTTTGATCCATAAGGGATAGAATTATAATTTCACCATTGGCTAAAAACCAACTTCTTAAATAAAAAAAAATACAAAAAAAATTAACTTTTAACTTTTACTACAAACCAAAAAAAAATGACTAAAAATTATATTCTCAAAAAAGGCCATAATAATTTATCATATCTAAGCTTTTCATGCCTGCATTTGACTTTTTTAGCGTTTCATGCCTATACTAGGGGTTGTTTGGGGTGTCCTAAATAAGTACACTTTTTATCTTTTTAGACTAAAAAATTGAGGAAAAAAATATGGATGTTTGGATTAACTTTTTGAATTTTTATGAAAAAATATATATTAAAAAATTATATAAATTTGTGTGTAAGAAAAAATTAAAATTAGGAGTTGTGTAACCGTAATTTTTGACTTTTGATGAATAATGATAACTTTTTAATTTTTTAAGTAACTTTTTAATTTTTTGACTTTTTAATAATTTGCCAAATTTAACCTTAGTTTTTTGATGACGATTGAAGAATTTGTATTAATTTGAACTTTAACCTCGTACTCATCACACTTTAAAATGTAATTATAAACTATTAAAATAATGTGACTACATATCATTGGACCACACCCAAATTGTACTCTGCACTTAATTTGATTAACAAATTACATCAAAGGGTAGCAAAAATAATTTTTTAATGGTCAATCTTCATCCATGTTCCCTTTGCAGTCATCCCACCTTTTAAGATGATATATAGGCTATTTTAGAAAGATAGTTAAAAATTATTTTTTAATTTTTAATTTATTTTAAATTATATTATCTTTTTACATTTTTATATATTTTTAAAAAAAAATTAAAAAGTAAAAAAAATCAATTTTTAACTAATTTTTCAACACAACTCATATATATATACGTTGCCATTACTTTGTTTTTGTTTTTCTTTTTGGGTAAATAATACATGGCTCCTTGGATAGAGAGCAACGAATCTTTTGGTTTTGATTTTTATTACTTTATTATTGTTAATACATGGCTCCTTGGATAGAGAGCAACGAATCTTTTGGTTTTGATTTTTATAAACCTTCATTTCTCGACGAGAAAAAATTAGGGATCATGAAAATTTTTTAATAAAAATAATTATGAAAATTTTTATAATTCTTAAAATACCTTAATTAGTGTGTGGTGTTTTATTTTAAATGTAATTCAAAAGTCATAAATCTTTCATAAATTTTTTTTCATGATACTTAACATTGCTCTTCTGGATTTTGATGGCTTCTTACTCCCTATAACAGAAAATTAGGTCCTCACTCATTGGTCATAAAAATATATTTTTTATTATCTAAAATAATATATTTATTGGAGCATGAATATATCTTTATTTTTGTCATCAGCTATAAAATAGTTTAAAAAATATAAGAAATGAAAAAAACATTTTTTTTTCTCTCTCTCTCTCTTCTCCATTATAGGAATTATAGGCAAGGTACCAAACTGCTTCAAAATTATAATTAAAAATAGAAAGTAGGTGTTTGGAAAGTTATTATTTTAATAGATTATTTTAGTTTTTGGTTATTTTTATTGGTTAAAATATTTGTCTTTGAAAAGAATATTGGATTTTTTTTATTTTATAATTAGATGTGATATTTGTGAGAAAAAAAAAATAAAATGATTATGAATTTAATATGATATTTTATCTTATTGACTATTTTAACTTATTTTATCTTTTTATAAATTTTGGGATTGTTTGGGGTGTTCTAAATAAGTGTACTTTTTGACTTTTTGGAGTAAAAAATTGAGGAAAAAAAATATGGTTATTTGGGATAACTTTATAATTTTTTACGAAAAAATGTGTATTAAAAAATTATATAAATTAGTGTATAAGAGAAACTTGGGCAGAGTAGGCAGTACGGTGGGCAAAGTAGTGTATGGGAGAAGCTTGCTTCCTTTTCGGGCATTGAATTGGATGGTGCTATTTAGCCCATGGAGGCCCACCATGGGTCCCGTTTTGCTAATCGAAACTGTTCAATATGTAAAACTCGTTGAGTACTATATGCTTGTAAAAAATCACGTTAATCAGATATCGATAGCTATATGATCGGATTAGTTTTTTTGTCATCTGTTAACTATAACACCATCAATTTTTTATACAAAACTGATTTGATCATATAGTTAGCGATACTTGATCAACGTGATTTTTTACAGGCGTATATTATTCGAAGAGTTCTATACATTGAACGGTTCAGATTATCAAAACGGGACCTGTGATGGGCCCCTACAGGCCGAACATCACCGCCTTGTTTGTTTCTCCGCCTGTTCCCTTTGTACAAACGGTGGGCAGCTAAAGTACAACTCACGTGACACGTGAGTTGTACATTTTTTTTTTGTAAAATTAATTTTTTTTTTATATATTTTTTTTGTGAATAGTGATAACTTTTGGATAAATTACCAATAAGTCCTAATAGTTAGACTTAATTCCCATCAGGTTCTATTGAAAATAAGTCTTGATAAAATTATCGTTAAAAATAATTTTTTTTGTGACAATTTTTTACATACGTCGCAAAAATTGATAATTAGTGACTTTTTTGTCATAATTTTTATAAATTGTCGCTAAAACTTACAATTAGTAACATTTTTTTATGAAAATTTTTCCTCATAGGACCTATTAGACAATAAGTTAACTTATTAGAACCTACACGTAAGTATCCCATAATTTTATAACTTTTTTAGTAACTTTTTAACTTTATAACTTTTTTAAGATATGCCAAACCAATACTAAATTAACCTAAAATTTCACTTTCCAAACATCTCCAAAGTGAGGTAACAAATTTGCATCAAACATAGAAGCTTACAATGTGCCATTTTGGGAAGCAATAAAAAACGCCACGTTTTTTTATCCATGTGCCAAAAAAGCTCCCGGCCCAAAATGTCACTTTATTCATTTGGCAACTTTCCAAAACGGAACACTGAAATTACAGTTTGGGCCTATGAGACAAAATTGAAAAAGTAAAAAATAAATGTTAAGGAAGGATATTTTGATCATTTTGAAGTGATATGACACTTTTAAAAAATATTAAACCAAAAATCAAAAAAGTCAACTTTTTACCAATTTTTCAAATCACTTTCAAAAAAGTTAAAAAGCTTGATAAAAAGTCAAAAGTTAACTTTTTACCAACTTCTCAAAACACCATAATGTGACTTTTATAGGTTGCACCACCGAGTTGGCATTAAGTTGAGACTAGATTTCAATAAAAATATATCAAACAAAAGGAAAAATGACTCACCAGTCAAAAAATTTCATATATAAAATTAATTCAAAACAATACAAGTGACATTTTTAAAAGAATTATAAAATATTTGTACTTATTTAACTCTCATTACATATATATATATATATATATATGAAACAGATCAACTGATATTTTTATTTTATAATTAATAGTTTTTAAAGACCAACATCAATAAATCTTAGTTCGAAATTAAAAATAATTCAGCAAATTTCAAAAAATTTATAATGACCCTGATATTTTAAGCCGTTGATTTTGAATTTTGACCATGTGCAGCAACCTTGTCAAACAAGATTGAGATGATATAGAAACACTAAGAAAAATTAAATCAACTAATATTATTAGTACTAATTACCTTAATTTGCTCAGCCTCAGAGCTCTGATGATGGCTTGATCTAAAATATGCATCGGGGCATCTGTCTACTAACTTGTTCCTCCTGCAAAAGGGTAACCAGTGGCTTCCAAACTTAGCAGCTTCCATGAAAGCAAAGAGAGTCATGGCAGAGCCTCCATCGTCCGATACATAGACCGAAAGTTTCTCAGTCGGGTAATCATAAGCCATGACCGATAAGGCCGTGTTCACGACACTCATCGGTGGCTCTTTATACGGATCTGCAGTGCATATAAATATGTCCAAAGCTTGAAAATCATTTTTTTTCATGATTTTCTCAAGATTTTCTCGGAAAACTTGGCGATGGACCGGATTCATGCGAAAAGACTGCTTGGCAGCCCACATGAACCCTAGAATTACATCGGAGATTAGTAAGGGGATGGAGATGGAGAAGGAGAGTAAGGTGGTGGAATGGAAGGCAGTGATTGCATGGTGATAGAGGAGAGCCAAAATGGCACACGTGTAAACTACCGCGAAAACACGGTTCAGGGCAATGAGAGGGGAGAACCTAAGTGTGTGAAGAAGGGGCTTGGTTTTGACACCCTCCATTTCTATGGAAAATGGTTTGTCTCACTAACAGGGATGACCTAACTAAGGTTGATTCTTTATAGGCCTACATGTGAGCTGTGAAATGCTTCACACGTGCGAAAGATTATGTAAATATCGCAATACTTGTATGGAGCATATTTTCCTCTGTATAAATAGGTCTACAGCTCAGAAGAAAAAAAAAAAAAACCACCAGAAAATTATTTAAAATTTATAATCAAATTTGAAGATTGATTCATGGTATCATCTTTTTGGGAATTTAGTTATTTTAATTAATTTTTTAATTTTTTAAGAAAAGATGTATTAAAAAATAGAGAGAATGATGTGATAACTTGGTTTAAGTTTTTGACTATTTTAGACAAAAAGTCACTTCCGAAACAA